GTGGATGTTGTCCTCCTTGTCAGGAACGGAGAGGGGGAAGGCCGGAGGATGGGGGAGACTATTCTACTTATAGTGGCGTGTCACAGTCACATTGCCAGGGCTTCTCTCTGATTGGTACTTGCTTTTCCTATGTCACAAACACTTGGCCACAATGCTAACCTTGTTGCTGAGGCTAAATCAGCTCCCCTCAGGCTTTCCTCAGAGTGGGAGAGTATTGCAAGGATTAAGGCCAACTTCAAACAGAAAAGAGGAATGCTCAGGTTTTCTGCTTTGTTTTTTTTCCTATAGCAATTTGCACACATTCTGTACAATCTAATCAGAATTGGACAAATGCTTGTCAAAGTAGGTGGTCAGCATTACAATAGTAACAAAAAATCCCCAAAATGTTAGCTTTTTGTTTTTTTTTTTTTGGTGGAGGTGATTACTTATAAAAACACGCATGAGCTCATTTAATAACCAAACAAGTAAGCCACTAAAAATACAAAGCGACCTCTCTGTAATACAAATAACTGTTTCTATTGGGTTTTAAGAACTGGGACCCAGACCCTACTGGTTATCCAGCATTAAGCAGTCAACCCTGAAATCATATACTTAAAGGCAACACTAAATGGACTCAACAGAGTGTATTTGTAATTTATCCATCTGTATGAAACAGTAATAAGTTGTGAATTTGAGGGGGAGTGAGATCATGGGAGGGGCTGGAAAAAGAAAACAAAGAGCTTGGAGAGAGGAAAGGGATGGAGGGAAATTACATAATGACATTTAAATTAAAATACAAAAACCTCAATTCCCCTCCTTACTATAAATGGACATGAAAAAGAATAAGCCAGTGAGGTGAAAAATACTGGCTGCCAAACTCAGCAGCTTGCTTCATCCCCAAGACCCACAGTAGGAGAGAATCAACCTGTGTTCACTGCCCTTTGACATCCGTGCATGAGCCACAACACACAGGATTTCTTTCTCCCTCTTTCATTTCTCTGTTTCTCTCTCCCTCTTTGTTTCTCTATTTCTGTGTCTCTCATACACAGAAACAACCTATATGGAGCCTTTATTTAGACGATGGAGCCTAATACTTAGCTAGCAGGCAAGATAACAAAGCGCTTTTCCCAGGGCAAGCTCCCCAAGGTGCTTCACACGTTTTGACAAGTGTGGAAGTCTCCACTGTGGAGTCTGTGGTAGTGGAAGACTGTTTCTACTCTCCCTCTAGAGAAAGGAAGCCCAGTTTTCATGATGTTGCTTCCTTAAGAGCAAGTGTGTACAACTGAGGAATTAAAAACTCCTGTCTTTTATGGCTTGGCTCATGATATGGACTGTGCTCATTAACCTTTGATAATGATGACGTCATTCTTGCGGGTTTCATAGGCTGGATTTCATGGTTGGCTGTTACTTCTGTCACTAGCCAGAAGATGTTAGTAGGGTCTTTCTTGCCAGGTGTCATGCCGGTATTCATTTAAGGCATCTTGGGCAAACCTATCCCTGAGTGAAATAAAAAAGAAATAGAAGTAACTGTGACAATGGCTCGAGAGCATTTCAGTTATTCCTGATGGCCAGTACTATTACTAGTCCCATTCAATGTCTTTCAAAATGAGTTTCTGCATGGGGAAGGCAAAGAAGGCTGGGTGTAGCTTCTAGAAAGCCGGTTCTCCTCCATTTCTCCTATTTAAATATGGAAGGAGGGGCGGCGGTGTCAGGGAGATAACTTTAAACCAGCTCTAACTTTAAAAACAACCGAGTGTACCACATATGTGCCCCTGCTGCCCAGGGAGGCCAGAAAGGATGTTAGGTCCTCTGGAACTGGAGTTACAGGTGGTTGGAGCGTCCATGTAAGTGCTGGAAACCAAACACATGTCCTCTGGAAAAGCAGTGAGCACTCTAAACTGCACATCCATCCCTCCAGCCCCCGGCTCTCATTTCTGAGGAGAGCAGGCCTTGTGTGCAAACGTTCATGCCGGGTTGCTCACTGTTTGTCTCAGCCTTGCTTCCTCCCACTAAGGAACCACTGCTTCCACTCTGCTTTGGGTGATGGATCTTTAGTCGGCTCTTGCTAATTTTGCTTACAGACTCCTCTAGACATAATCACTCCATTTGCTTAATTATAGAACAGCTTTATTTGCTGCTGCTTAGAATAACTACCAGGCAGAGAACATTTATTTCCTCTTGCCCATCAATCTGTAGTAGTTTCCATTATAGTAACACTCCTGGCCTCTTTTTCCTTGTCACTTACGTCTGAGACCAATGCCTTACTTGACTGGGGAGTAGACAGTAGACAGGCCCGTGTCAGCTCTTCTGGATCCTTTGACTATGGGCAGCTCGCCCCGCATTCTGTTTAATTCTGTGCTACATCAGGAAACACCTGTCCCATACTTAAAGGCTGCTCTTTGAAAGACTGTCAGTAAGAAAGGTGACATTTTGCTCTCCATCTCTCTGGTTCCTTTGTCTCTCTTAGTTGGTCTTTGGGTGGGGAGAGGAAGGGTACAATATGTTAACAGTGGGTAAAATAAACAAGCTTAGAAGCCTGAAACAATAGGTTTAAACTAAGATACCAGAGTGTTCAGAAATACAAGGAAAACAGTCTTATAAGCTTCACGGCTAATTTGGGGCTAACCTAAATTCTCTTTTATCATTTAATAAGTCACTTAAACTATGGGTGTAGGCTTGTCTTTTGCCTGTCTCTGCTTCCTCCTCCAGACAGGCTGGAAGAAGGGATAAACATCTTTCATCATGATGCCCTTCAGGAACTATTACTGCATTGCTGACTCAGTCTATGCAGCAGTTCTGAGCATTTCAATCTCATACCCTGAGAGTATGGAGACTTTCACCTTCCTTGTTTCTTTTCTGCCCCACTCTCCAGGTCTTAGATGAAATCTGGTGTATGCTAGCAGGACAAACAACATACTCACCAGACTGATGACCAGCATACTGGAGGCCTTTTGAGTCTCCAAAGCTGTTTCAAAGTCTTTGGCTTTGAGTCTGAAATCCAGGATTGCCTTTTCCCCAGACTCTTGCTACATTCTCTATTATGCTATTCCTATTTGGGGCACTGGTTGCACAGTACCACCATTCTGTGATTAAAGTGCTGCTTAAGTTACAGGATCTTATAATGACTCAAGGTCGTCAGAAGACAATGAGAGATAAATTCACAATAATAAAATGGTAGCAGAAGCAACATTCACTTAAAATCGAAAACTTTCCCTGCATGGCATGAATGTCCTCTGGGGGCACTGTATGAGAGAAATAGAATGTTTGAATGTACTGGGAAGTCTTTATTTAAAAGAAACAGACTTTACTGGAATGAGAGTTGTTAGGCAGTGGGGAAAGGATGAAGAGAGAAAAGAGAGCATGAGCTAGTGGATGAAAAGGGGCAGAATGGAAGAGGATGACACAGGTTCCTGGTCACTGGACTCTGGGGTATGAGATGTGGAGAGAGGCAGAGTCTGATGAAGATGCCTTTTTAAGCCTTGCAAACAGAAGTATCTGACTTTGGCAAAGAAGAAACTGAGAAGAACTGAAAAGCGCAGAATTGGGCAGTGCCATCCATGCTGTGGAAATCAGTTCGGTTCTTTCCGGTTTGATACTTCCATGGTTGAGAGGGAATAAAGACACTCTCCATTTCTGATTGACTGACATTTTCTGACAGAGGTCATGTTCTCTTTATCCCTTCATTTTCTGGGTCCCCAAGGCTAGCTCCCCTGACCTCACCAGGTTGCAGCATTTAGCTCCTCTCTGGGAATTGCCTATGTCCTGTTTTGGCTAATCTGAAAGCTGGGTCACTGTTCTTAGATGACCCGAGAGTATGCGCTTGAGAAATTAGATTAGCTTTGTGCAGAGTAAGAACATAATAAAGGGATTAGCTTTGACACTGGGCACAAGGCTGTCAATCCCTGAGGAAGTTCCTTGTGAGTCTGATGTCATTTCATAGAGAACAACAACAACAACAAAAAATTATTGGGACAAAAAAACAAAAAAAACATGAGAAAATTTTAATTTTTTTGAGTCCTGGTTCACATTCTATAGTAAAGCATCAACTAAAAAGCAGTTAAAACCTCCCAAAGTTTGTTGTAAATGGATGTAAAATGTAATGAAAATGGATCTTTCTTTTTCTTCTACTATATTAAGAGTGTCCTAGCGAAGGCAAGGGGAGTGAGGGGATGGGGGAGGCAGTGGTGGCTCTCACCTTTAATTTCATCACTTGGGAGGCAGAGGCAGGCAGATCTCTGTGTGTTGGAGGCCAGCCTGGTCTATAGAGAGGGCTACACAGAGAAACTGTCTCAAAAAAACCCTCAAAGAAAACCCAAACAAAAAAGCAAACAAAAAACATTAAAAAGTGTCCTAAGTAAGGATGAGAATTCATATTAAAGTTACCCCAGGTCATGTGCCTCAGAAGTGTAGAACCAGGAAATGGAGGACTGTCAGACACACCAGCTGGAGCTTCCAACCACTGTACTACCCTGTGTTCATCAGTTGGCTCCAGAGGGAGGAAGCAGGAGGGGAAGCAACGTGGAGGCGTGAGATCACAGGACAGAATAAAAAACTCTATTCAAGTAAGAGTACAGGGAGTTACATGCCAGAGGATCTCAATAAGGGTGCAGTGGCTTGATTTGCAAAATGAATTCATGGCCTAAGGTTTTAACACTATTTTATAGGTACCTGAGGGCCACTAAACATTTGATTATGATTATGCAATTAATTGACGTAAGGGGATGTTTGGAGTTAATGTCAGCATCCGGAAAATGAGATCAGGGAGCGCAGCAGTGCCATTGCCCCGAGGCCCAAGAGCGGGATAGTAAGAGCTTGAGTGGGTGGAGAGGGACCAGGAGGAAGGTGTCGTCATTGGTGCAAGAAGAATTGGGCGAGAATTGGCTCAGGGTGGAGGAGAAGGCGCTCTGAGGGAACATCACAATGATTGAGCACTGATCTTGGTCCAGACACTGTTCTCTGAACT